GCTGTGTGACACTAGTGTCACTCTGGGACCCACGTTGGGTGACACCAGTATCACCCTGGGACCCGTGCTGTGTGACACTGGTGTCACCCTGGGACCCACGCTGTGTGACACTGGTGTCACTCTAGGACCCATGCAGTGTGACACCAGCATCACTCTGGGACCCATGCTGTGTGACACCAGTATCACCCTGGGACCCACACTGTGTGACACTGGTGTCACTCTCTGACCCATGCAGTGTGACACCAGTATTGCCCTGGGACCCACACTGTGTGACACTGGTGTCACTTTGGGACCCACACTGTGTGACACCAGTATTGCCCTGTGACACCAGCGTCACTCTGGGACCCACACTGTGTGACACCAGTATCGCTCTGGGACCCGTGCTGTGTGACACCAGTATCGCTCTGGGACCCGTGCTGTGTGACACCAGTATCACACTGGGACCCACAGTGTGTGACCCTGGTACCACCACAGCCCCAGTGACATCCCCAGGCCCCGCTCCCTGCCCGCTCTCACAGGGTCCCTTTGCTCCCTGAGGTGCTGTCCCCACCCCCAGGGGTGCACAGGCTGGACACTGTCCCTTCCCACCCCAGCTCACCCCGATTCCCGCTCCCCGCAGGGCGCTGGCCATGGAGCCGGGCACCATCGACAACCTGTCCATCCTGTACCAGAGCTCCGACTTCATCGTGGTCAACAAGCACTGGGACATCCGCATCGACAGCAAGATGTGGTACGAGACGCTGACCCTGCAGAGCCAGCTCAAGCACCGCTTCCCCGAGCTGGCCGACCCCGACACCTACTACGGCTTCAGGTGAGCAGTGGGGTCCTGCCTGCTGAGGACCCCCCGTGTGCCTGGGACGCTCCTCCACCCCCCATCTCCTCCCCAGGTTCTGCCACCAGCTCGACTTCTCCACCAGCGGGGCTCTGTGCGTCGCGCTCAACAAAGCAGCAGCGGGAAGCGCCTACAAGTGTTTTAAGGACCGGCTGGTGACCAAAGCCTATCTCGCCCTGGTAAGCCCACCCCACCCGGTCCTGCTTCTGGATGTATCATCTGACCTTGTTAAATTGCAGCTTGGCCTCTGCTTCTTGTCGTCCCGGTGGCTGTGAGGAGCAAGTGCCAGACCTTGGTTTGCCAACCGGCTTTCTGCCCGGCAGGTGAGGGGCCACGTCAGCCAGAGCCGCATGACGATCCGCTACGCCATAGGGAAGAACACCACCGAGGGCATGACCCACATGATGTGCATCGATGGGACGGAGGGTGAGTGGCTCCC